TATATGCTTTCCATGTCATTTACTTTGATCCATTCTCTCTAAATGACCAAACCACCTCAACAACCCCTCTTCTGCCCCCTGATAATACTTTTATTAACTCCACACCTCCTAATTTCCCCACTCCGAATTTTCTGCATAATATTTACACCACAAAATTGCCCTTAAACAGGACATCTCCACTGCCTCCAACCGTCTCCTCGCTGCTGATTTACCACCCAAGCTTCACACCCATTAAGAGTGTTGGTACTACTATACTTTAAATTCCCTTCTTTGCCCCCATAGATAACGTTTTTTGACTCCACATATACCTCAACGCACCATCACCTTTTTTCCCTCACAATTCTATGATTAACCTCATCCTTCATTTAAAACCCTCCGCCGACACGTCAACTCCCAAGTATTGAAAACATTCACTTCTTCCATACTCCTCCTTCCCCAAATTTGATATCCAATTTTTCTTTATCTAAATCATTTGACACCCTCATCACCTTACTCTTTTCTATGTTCACTTTCAACTTTCTACCTTTACACATATTCCCAAACTCATCCACTAACCTTTGCAATTTTTCTTTAGAATCTCCCATAAGCACAGTATCATCAGCAAAAAGTAACTGTTGTCAATTCCCATTTGAATTTGATTCCCCATAATTTAATCCCACCCCTCTCCCAAACACCCTAGCATTTACTTCCTTTACAACCCCATCTATAAATATATTAAACAACCATGGTGACATTACACATCCCTGTCTAAGACCTACTTTTACCGGGAAGTAGTCTCCCTCTCTTCTACACACCCTAACCTGAGTCTCACTATCCTCATAAAAACTCTTTACAGCATTTAATAACTTACCACCTATTCCATATACTTGCAACATCTGCCACATTGCTCCTCTATCCACTCTATCATATGCCTTTTCTAAATCCATAAATGCAATAAAAACTTCCCTATCTTTATCTAAATACTGTTCACATATATGCTTCAATGTAAACACCTGATCTACACATCCCCTACCCACTCTAAAACCTCCTTGCTCATCCGCAATCCTACATTCTGTCTTACCTCTCATTCTTTCAATTATAACCCTTCCGTACACTTTTCCTGGTATACTCAGTAAGCTTATTCCTCTATAATTTTTACAGTCTCTTATGTCCCCTTTCCCTTTATATAAAGGGACTATACATGCTCTCTGCCAATCCCTAGGTACCTTCCCCTCTTTCATACATTTATTAAACAAAAGTACCAACCACTCCAACACTATATCCCCCCTGCTTTTAACATTTCTGTCATGATCCCATCAGTTCCAGCTGCTTTACCCCCTTTCATTTTACGTAATGCCTCACGTACCTCCCCCACACTTACATTCTGCTCTTCTTCACTCCTAAAAGATGGTATACCTCCCTGACCAGTGCATGAAATTACTGCCTCTGTTTCTTCCTTAACATTTAAAAGTTCCTCAAAATATTCTCGCCATCTACCCAATACCTCCATCTCCCCATCTACTAACTCCCTACTCTGTTTTTAACTGACAAATCCATATTTTCCCTAGGCTTTCTTAAACTTGTTTAACTCACTCCAAAATTTTTTCTTATTTTCATTAAAATTTCTTGACAGTGCCTCTCCCACTCTATCATCTGCTCTCCTTTTGCACTCTCTCACCACTCTCTTTACCTTTCTTTTACTCTCCATATACTCTGCTTTTCTTATAACACTTCTGCTTTGTAAAAACCTCTCATAAGCTACCTTTTTCTCTTTTATCACACCCTTTACTTCATCATTCCACCAATCACTCCTCTTTCCTCTGCCCCCACCCTCCTATAACCACAAACTTCTGCCCCACATTCTAATACTGCATTTTTAAAACTATTCCAACCCTCTTCAACCCCCCCCCCACTACTCATCTTTGCACTAGCCCACCTTTCTGCCAATAGTCGCTTATATCTCACCCGAACTTCCTCCTCCCTTAGTTTATACACTTTCACCTCCCTCTTACTTGTTGTTGCCACCTTCCTCTTTTCCCATCTACCTCTTACTCTAACTGTAGCTACAACTAAATAATGATCCGATATATCAGTTGCCCCTCTATAAACATGTACATCCTGGAGCCTACCCATCAACCTTTTATCCACCAATACATAATCTAATAAAACTACTTTCATTACGTGCTACATCATACCTTGTATATTTATTTATCCTCTTTTTCATAAAATATATATTACTTATTACCAAATTCTTTCTACACATAGCTCAATTAAAGGCTCCCCATTTACTTTTACCCCTGGCACCCCAAATTTTACTACTACTCCTTCCATAACATTTTTACCCACTTTAGCATTGAAATCCCCAACCACCATTACTCTCACACTTGATTCAAAACTCCCCACGCATTCACTCAACATTTCCCAAAATCTCTCTCTCTCCTCTACACTTCTCTCTTCTCCAGGTGCATACACGTTTATTATAACCCACTTTTCACATCCAATCTTTTTTTTACTCCACATAATCCTTGAATTAATACATTTATAGTCCCTCTTTTCCTGCCATAGCTTATCCTTCAACATTATTGCTACTCTTCTTTAGCTCTAACTCTATTTGAAACCCCTGACCTAATCCCATTTATTCCTCTCACTGAAACTCTCCACCCCCTTCAGCTTTGTTTCACTTAAAGCCAGGACATCCAGCTTCTTCTCATTCATAACATCCACAATCATCTCTTTTTTATCATCTGCACAACATCCACGCACATTCAGACTTCCCACTTTGACAATTTTCTTCTTATTCTTTTTAGTAATCTTTACAGGAAAAGGGTTACTAGCCCATTGTCCCGGCATTTTAGTTGACTTTTACAACACGCATGGCTTACGGAGGAAAGATTCTTATTCCACTTCCCCATGGATATAAAAGGAAAAATAATAAGACCAAGATCTATTAAGATAAAATCAAAGAAAACTCAGATGAGTGTGTATAAATAAATGTGTACATGTATGTGTAGTGTGACCTAAGTGTAAGTAGAAGTAGCAAGACGTACCTGTAATCTTGCATATTTATGAGACAGACAAAAGACATCAGCAATCCTACCATCATGTAAAACAATCACAGGCTTCGTTTTACACTCACTTGGCAGGACGGTAGTACCTCCCTGGGTGGTTGCTGTCTACCAACCTACTACCTATATATATATATATATATATATATATATATATATATATATATATATATATATATAATATATATATATATATAATATATATATATATATATATATATATAAAATATATATATTATATATATATATATATATATATATATATATATATATATATATATATTTTATATATATATATAATATATATATATATATATTTATATAGATAGATATAGGCATGAAAAATATAAATACACGATAAAAACAATTATTGTTTACCAGTATTTCAACAATATCTTCTCCATAATTTACCACTGTGAATCAGTGTATTTCAATTTATTTCATAAAGCACAGCCAATATTAATTTTCTGTGAGTAAATATTTCAATCACTCCGTTGTTTTTCAAGAAAGAATGAATATGAAAATAATGAAAACGAAATCGGTTTAAATATTGGTAAAAAATTATTGATGTTTGTTTTTCATAGAAATGTGAAATACTTCATCGTAAATATTATACTAATCAAAAATAATGTAATTACATGCCGAAGTATAATAAAAAGTGCAATGTACATTTTCTGTACATTGCACTTTTTATTATGCTTCTAGCTTTGTAGCTTCCTCATTGATGCCTCTAGGGAATTTACACTTGTGGTTGGTTTATTGGTTAACTGGTTTATTGGTTAGCTGGTTAACTTGGTCTTTAGGAGTGCATACAACTTGATCGCATGTACATGTAAATGAAATGTTATTCTCAGTGTACGTACATCCACACATTAAGAGACATATACTTGTCAGATCATATACAATCAGAACATATACAATCAGAACATATACAATCAGAACATATACACTTGGTAGGCTAATTGGTCTAAAATCCTATCGACTACACGAGGGTCATTAAGACTGCATGTCACCTGTTAATCTCCAGTCAAGAATATTTAATCCCAATAATAGGGATTGAAGTAAATTGTGAATATATACACAGAAATATATTCACAACTCGGTGTACAGTATATATCCGGTGTCAAACCCAGTCATTCTAGTTTATTATAAGAGAGTGGTCAATGAGTTATTTTCACGTTTAGGCATATTTTATTATATTTTGACTGCCGAAGACACCTGATGATGTCGTTAAACCTAAATAGCAATTAATCATAAAATTACTGAAGTTACGTATTGAAATATGGTAAACACTGATATGTCATCATCGCATATCACTGAGCGTGTTTCAAACATTTTTTTAATAACCCATGAGAAGTAGTCTTTAAGCCTGACAAACCAACGACCAGTGGGAGTTTTCTTGCGTTTGCGCAGGCATCTTCCTCTGATGATGTACGTGTAAATGCATGAAAGTGCTTAAGTATTTCCACTCGCTTATGTTTTCACTGTGGTATTATATAACTGCAGTCACGTTTCTAACTTGATACATTGTCACAGAACGTTCTGCTTCCTCTACACACTTGCCTACGTAGTGCTACCTTTATGTGCACTACCCTACTTACTGCGTTCATTTTGTGAACTACCCTGCATACTTCCTCCTCCATGTTCAATGCCCTACATACTGATTCCACGTGCACTATCATACTTTCTACCTCCTCTATGTACACTACCCTTCGTTCTGTCTCCTCTACGAACATTATCCTATTTTCTACTTACTCTACGTATACTACCCTACATTCTGCCTCTACGACGAGCACTATCCTATGTACTACCTTTTATATGTGCATTACCCTACGTACTGCCTCTTTCACGTGCACAACCTAATGTACCACCTCCTACAAGTGCATTACCCCATTCAAAGCATATTTAACCACCCCTCTCTTTCTCTCTCTCTCTCTTTCTTTCTGTACTGTACAGTATTCATCCTGTGCTGGTCGCCGTACATCGTGTTCGACCTGCTGCAGGTGTACGGCTACGTGCCTCAGACTCCCACAAATGTGGCAGTAGCTACCTTCATACAGTCGCTGGCACCGCTCAACTCGGCCGCCAACCCCATCATCTACTGCCTCTTCTCCACGCACATCTGCCGTAACCTGAGGTATGCTCCTGCTTCTTTTATTTCTTACGCCTCATTTTCGTGAGACGGCTGACTACGGGATTCCAAATTTAATTTTTTCTACGTTACACATGGCTACATTTTTAAGTTTTATATATATATATATATATATATATATATATATAATATATATATATATATATATATATATATATATATATATATATATATATATATATATATATATATATATATATATATATATATATATATATATTCTGTCGGTTTATTTTGTTGTTTAATTTCCTATATTGTTACTTTTATATTACCTTGTTTTATATTTATACATAATGGTAATGAATTTCTGGGATTTTATCACTAAATTACTTTTTATAATTCTTTTTTTTTCCAAAATTAGTAAAAGTAATTCAGGGTGGTTGAGAATTATGGACGTAATTTGCTTTTAAAGTTATTATAATTTGGCATGAGCCTTTTGGCTCTTTAACATTGTTTTCACTCCTTTGATTACTGATGTTTAATTTCATTTCATATTATTATTATTATTATTTTTTTATATTATTTATTTTATTATTATTATTATATTATTATTATTATTATTATTATTATTATTATTATTATTATTATTATTATTATTATTATTAATAATTATTATTATTATTATTATTATTATTATTATTATTATTATTATTATTATTATTATTATTATTATTATCATTATTATTATTATTATTATTATTATTATTATTATTATTATTATTATTATTATTATTATTATTATTATATTATTATTATTTATTAATTTATTTATTATTATTATTATTATTATATTATTCATTATTATTATTATTATTATTATTATTATTATTATTATTATTCTCATTATTATTATTATTATTATTATTATATTATTATTATTATTATTATTATTATTATTATTATTATTCTCATTATTATTATTATTATTATTATTATTATCATTATTATTATTATTATTATTATTATTATTATTATTATTATTATTATTATTCTCATTATTATTATTATTATTATTATTATTATTATTATTATTATTATTATTATTATTATTATTATTATACCGCCGTTTTCAAAGCAGTTCAGGTTTGGTGAGATACTTGAAGTTGAAACATGTGTCAGCCCTAACCTTGTGCACCCTTCACCTCTATTTGCACCCCTAGTGTACCTTCGTCCTCCTGTGTATTCCCTTAACCCCTCTACAGTACTATAAACGCATGAAGCCCCTCTTACACGTCCTTCCCCTTTACCCTGCCACTCCGTGTAGTAAGCAATGTAGGACAACCTTTAAAAGACCCCAATAACGCTTGCTTTCCTAATTATACTAATACTTATCAATTAAAAAACTAATTAAAAGTCTTTGTTCTACCTTTTTTTCCTAACATGACCTAGTAGATTTGTACACCATGATATATACCGCTTTCAAGGATAATCTTTTCTGTTGTGATGTTGAATACAGAGATGTCTGTGTGTTGTTATATGCAGAGATGTGTGGGATGTTAGAGAGATGTTTGTGTGTGTGTGATGTTATGTAGAGAGATGTGTGTCTGATATTATGCACAGATAATTATGTGTGTGATGTTATACAGAGAGATATGTTTGTCTGATGTTATGTGCAGATACTTGTGTGTGATGTTATATACAGACACGTGTGTGTGATGTTTTATACAAACATGAGTGTATGATGCTGTATACAAACACGTGTCTGTGACGTTATGTACAGACACGTGCCTCTGATGTTATATAAACACGTGTGTGTTTGTGTTGTGTGTGTTTTTTTCTGATGCAGTATTTAAACACATGCGTGATGATATATACAAATATGTGTGAGTAAAGTTGTTTACTATCACGTACATGAGGTTGTAAACTAACACGTGTGTGATGTATACCAACATGTGTGATAATGTATACAGACACGTGTGTGTCATAATATTTTTAAACACGTGTATTTTTTCCAACTAATCCCTCTTTTAAATTTTTTCCAAGTCTAACCTTTAACAATATTAATTACAAAAAATGGTTATATATTATTATTATTATTTTCCTTTGCTTCACTTCATGACAAGTTTTAATGAACGTTCGATTTTTTATAGCATTTGTTTTTAATTGAGAGACTAGTTTAGATTATTAATGGTTCTTACCTGATGACACTCAGTGGTACGTGCCTGATGAAATTACTAAAAAAGTTCAGTAAAAGAAGTGAAGGAGAGGATGGTGTTTATTTTGTTAGTAGAACATTCACACACTAGAAGTTAACTAACAAGCAAGGGTGGAGTAACAACCATGAAATCATCATCAACCAAGCGTTATGGTAGCACCAACACACTCACTCACACTCTTGACAGTCTGAGGAATGAACACTTTGAAAAAGTGCTATAAGCTTGTTAACCCTGTATGTAGAGCACTCAATTAGTTGAGTCAGCTTACATCAAGTAATATACTAACACACAGGTGTAGTATGCTTTTCAAAAACGAATTTACGTTTTATATAATGTAATTTGGTATGTTTTGTACACGCATTTTTATTTTCGATAAAATTCCTGATATCTGAGTGTAATGAAAAAAACATTTTTCATAGCACTGGAGACACATTCAGCAGAGCAGCACTGATGTACAGAGAGTGGTGATCAACACACACACACACACACACACACACACACATACACACACACACACACATGTTGTATTAACTGCTCTCAAAACTCTTGACCCACATCATCACCCCTGACACACGCATGTTCTTGAAACTGGCCTCTAGCTCCTGGTCCTCATAATCGTCTTTTCCGTACATATACTAACTGATCTTCAGTTGGTAATTCATAGACATGATGAGCACAGGATATCTGGAAAAACTCCTGAACAGTGTTTATAAGGGTCAGTGCTCCTGGGGTCCGGTCCCAGAATAAGCTTCTTGGTAGAACAAAATCTAATTTACAAGGCTGTTTCTACTGGCGGCATGCAGGCTAACGCACGATCCACATCCGAGATGATCAAGGAGAGATTTGAAGAACGTCATTAAGTTCCTCCTTTAAAACAGCCAGAGGTTGTTGGTAATTTTCCTTATCCACAGAAGGAGGACGTTGAAAAGTCGTGGAGATATCGAGTGCTCTCTTAGTGTGCTCGAACGTTTCTGCTTTTTATTAGAGATGCTTTATACCGTCTGCCAGGTTTCTTACTTTCATTCGGAGTGATTTCGTTGTGCAGGTTCGGAATCGACTTCTCTAGGATTTCCAAGTCTACATCATTAAGGATCTTTCTCGCCTACGTTCCAAGGAATACAGAAAGAATGAAAAAGCATAATACTGTGACTGGAACAATTCACGAATAACCAGCACATAAGAGAAAGAAACTTTTGACGACGTTTCGGCCTGACTTGGAGCATTAACTAGTCATACATACAGTTTAAAGGACTTCAGTACTGGGAAAAGTACTGACATTTGACTGAATATATACTGGCAGTGAAAGTTCTCTATACATTTTCAATCTCAGCAGTCTCACCTGCCATGATGGGGACGCTGTTAGTCTGCCTCAGAATTCTAGACTGGAGAGAATAAGTGACTTGAAGATTACTACCCTTAACCCAGGATCTCTTGCATAGAACAGTAACGAAGACAATATTGTTTGGTACTGGAATGAGAGATTTTCTGACATCACTTTTCCCAAGTCTTGCATGTAGAAGTTTCGTTGAACTGAATAAATTTAATTTGCCCTGTACACCGTCTTTATTTATATTCTTCCACAGCGTAGAAACAAAAACTTGTCCTCTCTGAGCATCATATTGCTGTCTGAGGCCAACTGGAAGGCTTGATATATATATATATATATATATATATATATATTATATATATATATATATATATATATATATATATATATATATATATATATATATATCCGCTTGAGGATGTCCTGTCTTCTACGGACGTCAATCTCTTAGGGATTCTAGTCTAATCAGCAAATAGTGTTACCTGCTATGATTTGTCCTTGTCTACGTCAGATGTGAGACTGAGAACCAGAGAAAGGTCATGTACTATATTGTGCCTTGAGGAACAGAGTTTTTCATTACTTCATTGTGTTTACTACTAGAGAGATTTCTATTCGTTAGGTTAAATATCCATCTGCGCAATTTTCTAGTTAGTTCTCTCCTATTCATTTTGTGAGCTATCACACTGGACACACTTGTCGAAGGCTTTTGCAAAATTTGTGCACACTGCATCAAAATTTAGTTTGCTGTCCTGTGCATCCTATACCTTGTCAGAATTAGAATAGCAATTGTGATAGGCAGGAGTGACCTGCTCAATACCCATGTTTTCCAGGATTGTGGAATTGTTGCGATTCCATGAGATGGTACCCGTTCAAAGATTTGGATGTGTGAATTTAGCTCAGTTGGCCTGTAATTTTTCGCAATTCCAGTACTGCCACTTTTGTGAAGTGGAACAATATCAGTGGATATTAACCCTTAAACTGCCCAAACGTAGATCTACGTTTAATTTTTCCTGCCTCCACATTTTTCATAATTGGCCTGAGATACCTGGTTAGTATAGAATGGGTCTTAACACTTGATGTGCGCAGTATTAAAAAATCTGGGATCACTAAGTACCTTGTTGGAGCACCGGATCAGTTGAGTGCCAGCTAGAGCAAATAACATGCCAAACACCAGGGATTTACTTACGTCATGTCGCATTAATGACTGTAGGATAACACTGTATTGAAGCTCAAGTCTCCATTGAATACCTAAGGCCCGAGACAGTAGGTTCTAGTTATTTTTGATGAACACGGAGTTCACAAGAAACTGCTTTAGATCCATGGTAGTCACTTCGAATTCCCAGCGCATTTCATTAAGGTCACGATATATTTCATCCCATTTGTTGGCTTTATTGATTTAAAATTAATTGAATTTGTACTCATGATTGACTTTCTCTGTCCCAGGCCACTGTGTTTGCGGGTCTTAACCACGAATATGCCTTCGACACTCATGTCTGGCACCA